TAGACGTAAACACGTGTAGATTTAATCGCTAGAAAATATTTAAAACTTAAATCTTATTATTCTATTAATTTAAGATTCGGAGAATGATAGATGTTTAGATACTTCTGTAAGTTCTGATATACGGTATAAGTTACTTATATAAGCACTTAAGAAGTATCTGAAATCTATTATTCTAAGATTAAGAGGATGTAAACAACTATACAAATTACCCAAAAATCAGTTAATAATGTTGTAAGAAATTCAGCAATTTTTATAATATTTGTCTATTGCAGACTTGTAGCTACAGGAAGCTATGACATGGTAAGCTCATGCTTAGTCAGTGCAGTATAGGCTATATAATATACGCTTTCATCACGTAAATTTGAACTACGGTTACTTATTTTTACACTTAAACTGTAGCTAATAGGCCTAGTGCTGTCCAAAACAAGAAAAATACCAGTCGGAATTTTTTCAGTTCGCTCCTCTATCCCCCCAGTGATTTATTCCTGGCTACAGGACTGATCTACTGAACAAGATTAATATCATTTCAGACAGTTTTTCATACTTTTAAGTTTATAAGTAACAAAATATTTCAATAACGCATCAATTTAGATTTTTACAATGGTTAACTGAATTTTGGGCCGTTTATTTATTTAATCTTCATTATGTAAATTATTTATAATAATTGTTTATGCGGAAAGAGACATTTCGCGTTAACTTAAAATAGAAAATTTAGTAGCCTGCTATTTTATTTTTGAATCGAAAATTGCTTCTAAGTTTATGAAACTCGAAATGACACCTGGGTTTATAACGCCTTATCTCCATTTCCATGTCGCCACGCTCATTTAACGACTGGGTAGACTAGTTCTATATTTTAATTATTTTAATTTTTTCTTGTTTAAAAAAAAGAACTTTCTAGTCTTTTTCGGCACACTTTAAAATGGTAGATAAAATCGAATTNTAGTGTCTTTATATGTAACTTATGACTGGAAAAAAAATCACATTTTTGGTTATTGAACTGATGTTTTCTCAAATTTAAGCAATTTACGCAGTAAAATAGCTTCTAAAACAGAAACCATAAAATAAAAACAAAACCCTCATTGACGCCTTACTAAGCTCCTTGGACGTATTTACGTTCGTTAATCTCTGAGTGTACATCACTGTTTGTCTGGAGATGTGATGTTAGAACTGTTCAATAATGTCACATTGATACAGATAAATGGTTTGGTTGATTGAAATATAATTGAGAAGTTGCATCAATGTTTTTGCCATCAGATAACTCCCTAACTAACTAGACAAAACGGAAACTAAAAATCAATGTTCAATTCTCTATATAGGGCCTATATATAGCCTATATTTGTGTTTTCTTCTATACATTTTATGTACTTTTTAAACTTTTTAGCGGTTACTGCATTTTGTATTGAGAATTTGCTAAATTATACAACAAGTTACACAATAATTTTCGAGATGACAAGGAATTGAACTAAGATATATTCAATGAACATATGAAGCGGAGAAAAGAATTATTTTTACATTTTATTCTAATAGAGTGAGCTATTTTAAAGTGATTCCGAACACGTTTAAAACAGATTTTTATTTCATACGTGCTACTAGTAATAATATACAATGATATTCTCATAAAGACAATTACTTATGTTGATTGAATTGTATAATTTATTCTTTTATTTCAATCATCACAAAACTTTCAAACGTTTATTATCTTTTTTTCTTCGTTTTAAAGCCAACTTTGATCGTTCCTTTAAGGGAATGTATTTATGCAGTTTCCTTGTGGAAGCAAATTGAGTGGAATAGAGAAATTTCCTTCGAGCAATCTTGTATCGTTTCCTCATTCTACAAATTCAATAAATTATAAAATATAAATTCCAAAAAAGTAAACTTATTTTCTGAAGGTATTCTTGTTGGGTAACAAACTAAGACTTATTGATTTCGATTTCACTTTAAGATTTTCGATGGAAATTCGCATTCTGGGTTCGAAAACAATCACACGTTTTCTTATCTTTTTTTTTTTTTCTTTTTTTGATTTTAAAATGCTTTAACAAGAGTTTCACGCGAAGGAAATTCATTACGAAAGCACTACTTGGTATTTATGAAGGCAATGTGTCATTAACTCTACTTTAGGGAGTTGTCTTCCGTTCTGACATTCCTACAGTTTTAATGCTTTAGGTAAAGAAATTACAACTTTTTCCTTACTCTGATACAAGATAACTCAATTTATTTCCTATTTCTCTGATAATATTATATACAATTTTAATTTGAACACTCATATTTTCAAGAAATTGGACCAACAACTCAAAAGAAGTTAACAGTAAATTAATCTTGATTTTGCCTTGGTATCTACTGCGGAAAATATAAAATAAACATTAGGATATGTTGTTCAAATCTTTTGATACGATAAAGTATTTACTATTTGAAATTCCGTTTCTAACATTTACTTGAACATGATATTGACAGTATAGAAAGCACATACAAAACCTACAAGGCTAAAAAATTTCAAAAATAGTCTGGTATAACAGATAAATATATTCTTCACTTAAATCTGTTTTCAAATAGTATAGAAAAATAAGAAAAAATATCTTTGGAGTTTCAAAGATTAGTACATAGAAACGGAAAAGATTATCCCAAGTCTGTTCTAACGAAGCAATCAAGAACGTTGACCTAATTGGACAAGCTAACTAATGATAGAAAGTTGTACAGATTAACAAGAAACTTTCTACTAATCGTCAGTGTACTTAATCCTCTTCTTAACTCTTTCTTCCTCTTTACAAAGCACTTTCACCTATTTCAAAGAATTATGTTTCTTTTAAAAATAAAAATGAAATAAATGCCAAAGATTTACTTCAAATAGCTCTATTATTAAGCTATTGTGGTATTAAAGTATTATAAGAGATTATAAGAGCTTGAATGAAAGTATATCATGAAATTGGGTATTATTTGGTCTTTTAAATAGAAGCGAGTAATTTACTATAGGTCAGCTATTACTTTTCTAATTAAAATTAAGTATATTTATATAAAATTTAACAAATAAGTTATTTAATTTGTGAAATTTATCAAGCAGTGTTGTAAGATATTTGCATTTTATTTAGTTTCTGTAATAGTTTAATATCGTTAATTTTAATAATTTGCATTAAATAAATAAAATATATTTAAAATATAATTTTTAATTAAGATGAATAATATTTTAAAAATTAAAATATTATTCATCTTTAAAATATATTTTTTATGGAAATATATATTAATAATCGAGGTAAAAAAGAGAATGTAACTTAAACCAGTGTCTTTATATGTAACTTATGACTGGAAAAAAAATCACATTTTTGGTTATTGAACTGATGTTTTCTCAAATTTAAGCAATTTACGCAGTAAAATAGCTTCTAAAACAGAAACCATAAAATAAAAACAAAACCCTCATTGACGCCTTACTAAGCTCCTTGGACGTATTTACGTTCGTTAATCTCTGAGTGTACATCACTGTTTGTCTGGAGATGTGATGTTAGAACTGTTCAATAATGTCACATTGATACAGATAAATGGTTTGGTTGATTGAAATATAATTGAGAAGTTGCATCAATGTTTTTGCCATCAGATAACTCCCTAACTAACTAGACAAAACGGAAACTAAAAATCAATGTTCAATTCTCTCAGTTTTTTTTATGTAGTATCTTTCACAATAAAAATTCTACTTTTCTAAAATAGATTTTTGTTTTATTTAGAATAATTGAATTAGAATTATTTAGTATGTAATGATAAAGTAATATTTTGTTTTTTCTTTCTGCTTATCGAAGTAAGTAAACTTGGTTAAAGTAACATTTTAGTAGCAATAAAAATTTCTAAAGAAAAGAACCTACAAAGTGTATCTTTCAATTTCTACTCCTTCTAATAGAAGAAAGAAAAAAAAATAAAAATAAAAAAAACTGAAAGCAATTCGTATACGATGTCATCTGGTAGATGAGATTGCAAGTTTTTCACTTGATACTGTGTGGGAATGATCTTACAATCAAACAGATTGCTCCAAAGTATAACAGGTGCCGTGCTCGAATCATTTTAGTAAGAGTTCAATAAGAAAAAATATTCTTTAAATCATGCATTTATTCTAGAAAATTTTCTAGCCAGCTTGCAAATTATTTGCACATCTAATCGTGTTTGAAATGATCGATACCATAAAAACAGTAAAATGATGCAAGCAAAGTATTGCAAAGCTACGTACTGTGTTTCACATCTCAAGAACCATCCCAATTAAAAAGAAAATAAAAAAAAAGAACTCCTTTAAGTGCTAAAGACATCAAGTGAATTGGCTTCGTTTCCATCAAAGAGACAATAGTAAGAACCGAAATGAGACTTGAAGATATTTCAAAATGAAGCTAGCAGGTAATCGACTTAACTTTCTTCCAATCGATCGAATAACAAAGAAAATCCTATTCCATATTCTTTAACAGTAAAGAGCGTGGATGAATGAAAAACGTCATCAGTGAGATTAGTGGTCGTAACACAAAAGACGCGTGACATATGATATAAAAAACACTTTTTATTGCTTAGAATGTATGGAATGGGATGTGATGTGATGTGCATTCAAGCCATATCTTTCCTTGCATGTTTCTATATCCGAATTGATCGAATTTTTGGGGTAATTATAGTGGTTTTAGCTGTGATGCCAAGTAGAAAAGTTCAATTCTCTTACAGATTCTCCAACATTCCGATAGCCAAAGAAAATTGTGATCTATGATGTGAAAATTTTACAACATCCGAATTTACTAGTAATTAAAGAACAAGCGACTAATTAGGTTTTTAACTCGTTTTTCCTCCACTTTTTCGATTTTTATTACACGCTCTTTAAAGTGTTTAATATTGAAATTTATTTTCTAAAGGAAAAAAAATATATTTAAAATTTTTATTATTAGATACATTCCTATTTATTTTTAAATCACTTCTCATAAAATATAAAATAAATAATAAAATAAATGAGTTCGGATTTTAATTTATAATTATTTTCTTTTTTTTTTAGATAATAACTCTGCATTAACTTTCACCTGTCTTTTCACAATACTACAATTTGTTGGTTATTACAATATTTATCAAAGAAATGAAAACAAAGGTAATAAATATATTTAATTCGAGCTGATTTAATGATTTTAATTAGTTTATTTTTATTATAAGTACTCGAAAAATGTAGCCGAAGATTTATTGAAATTTGTGTAAAATTTTTACTTAATTATTTAAATATAATATAATTTAATTGATAAAAAATTGTTCTTTAATGTAGATATTAAATTATAAGCTTATTAAATATAAAAGTACGTTAATATCAATTTTATATTCATTTCCTTCATCCTGCTGTTTGAGTGTCCGCTTGATTTGTCGAAAATTAAAGACCTAAAGAGTTAAAGTTTTAAGATATTAATGGATACAGCCTTCTTGCACATTATAAAATTATTAAAGTCATCACTTCCTCATCTATTACATTATCCTTTTCCATATGTTATGATCATCTCAGCATCTTAAGCGAAAACAGAGTTAGAAAATTGAAATTTTAGTTTGTTTATCGTGTTTATTTGTCTATCTATCAATTTGTATAGAATTTCTTTCAAGTTAATACTTAATTTATGAGACTGATAGAGATAGCACGAGACTATCATCTCGTATCACTAAATTTTACATATACAAAATTAAAAAAGAAATTACTCGAATTACTTGTTATATTTTTAATTCAAAAAGAAAACATTTTTTGATAATCTAGACGTTAGAAGTTCTATATTTTACCAAATATTATCGTAATAATTTAACGAAAGAATCATTAAGATGACAAGCTTTAAAAGGAAGGTGCATATCTTAAAAAATTTACATATAGGGCCTACTTTTAGCAATAAAATCTAATAAATTCAAGTCTTTCATATGAAAATTTTGAAGACATACCTAAACATTTTATTATAACTTTTTTTTTCTTTTTAATAAAAATGTTTAAAAGTTATAAAACATGACTGTCATTCTAAATGGCGTGACTAACATTTTACGAGATATCGTGACTTCTTCCTTCTCATCACACAAATAGAACGTGTGCAACGGATTTCCGAATGCTCAAATAAGTGAGATGACTGATGTGAATCTTAAAATCTGTAATATTTTACAGCGCACCTAATGTCTTGATTTGTTTTTACAAACGTAAAAGATGTAGATAACGTCATTCAAAATTTCCATCTTTACTTTAACAGAACGCCCAGTTCCGGTGTTATCGTCATTTTGCTTCTACTGAATCTTACAGATTAAAAATTTCTTGTTTATTTTAAAACCTTATCATTTAAAAATGTGTTTGGAGAACTTTTAATGTCTTGGGAAAGGAAAGTTTTTTTTTAGAATAACTAAAAAAACACTTGGGCTTTGTCTGAGAGACTTGGCGATCTTGTTCTGCTTTTAATTTTGGCCAGCAGGTGGCGCCCGATTAGCAGTACTCATTATTGCTTGATTTCCATAGAAAAGTAAATGGCTACCATTTGTCAAGACAAAGTGCTGAACGCTAAACTTCATTACCAGGAACCATGTTGAAAGCTTCATTTCTTCCTATTTATTCTAATGAGGAAATGATGAAAATTTTCTGTCGCCTTTAATTCCCTTGATAGGAATTAAGGATAATTTATCTCATGGAGTACTTAAACTGGTCCTTTTTTTTGTGTGCATATAAGTATATATATACACACACACACGTATATATACATACACCGCTCTTATTTTTATTTAAAATTCAAAAATATTAATCAAAATAAATTTGTCAGCTCGAAACACATTTTTAACTTAAAAAAAATTAATTCCAAAAGTTGTAAAAATAATTTTTAAAAAAGCTTTTATATCATTATGTAATTTTATTTATTTTTAAATCATTTTCTCTCCTTCGTCTTAAACTAAAATTTATCCCTTTCGACTCGAATTTAATTTGCTAAAATTATTGTTTTCTAATCATAAATATTTCCGTCAGTTTTTAATGGAAATTAATCTGTCAAAATTACTCGGCGTCACACATCAAATTTAAATTAATTTTGCTTGACAAGTGTCATAATTAGAGACACCCTTGTTACGTCATATGCGAAGTTATATCAGAGAAAAAATTAAAAAAATTAAAAAAAAGTATATTTTCTAGCGTAACTTCCTCTTCACAAAAATGAAGAAGGAAAAAAAAAAATATTCTGTAAAATTAATGACTAATTCATACCATCAAGACTTAATATCTTTTTTCCATGATGAAAAAATAGAAATTATTTTGTGATAATTAAACAAAATGATACTCTATTACTAAATGATAGAGATACAAAAGTTTGCGTGCTAATTACCTAGAAGAAGAGAAATAGAATCAAAAATGTATAAAGTATATTTTTCTACTACAACAATAAATCTTTTTGATTACATGTCAAAAATTTTCAAACTAATTTTAAAATAATATATGGTTTTTTTTTATTTTTTCTTAAATCGTTCTTCGGAATTTTTGAATAGAAGTTAATATATACAAAATTTTAAAAGAATTATATATAACAGTTTATTGTTTTTAGTGTTTATTTTCAATATTATATGTTATTTTTAAAGTGTTGTTTCTGTAACAAGTAATGATCTTTCTCTAGTTGTTAAAATTGAAAAGAAGAAAGTTTATTGATTGAAATCTTAATAATTTTATATAAAAATTACAATCGTTTATTACATAATGCTATAAAGTGTATCGATTATTCTATTCTACGTGTTAGAATAATAATCGATTATATCTAGTAAATATACAGTAATATATAGAAACTTGTTTTCTCTTTATAAACATTTTTATATAGATTAAATTGCAGAAAACCACAATATAAACTTTTATAAATCCATTATGTTACTTGTAAATGTTTTGTAAATAAAAAAAGAAGGATATATGCAAATTATTGTACCGAAATATGTTCAAAACATTCAAGAATATCTATTTATTTAAACGGAAATAGTGTATAAAATAAGTCGTAATTCCTTTTTAGAGAAAAATATATTTAATTCTTTTTGGAAATACAGAAATGTTGAAGATTATTGGTTCAAAGTAGTATCCATACAGAAATTGAATTTCCAACAGCTGCTAACTTAAAACTCATATCTGGATAGAATATGAACGAGGAAGAGAGAGAGCGAGAGAGAGGATAAGGAAGGTGGGATAGAAAAATCTCCCCCTTTACACGAGTTAACGCTTTTTCCTGCGTCAAAATTTTTAATTTTAGCCGCTTGACGAAAATTGCCTGTTCTTATGGAAGAGAACTAACTTATGGAAAAGAAGAATAAGAAAAAAGAAAAAAATCCGTTAGAAATTTTAATATCCAACAACTACAGGAAAAAGACTGGTGGTAAGATGTTGGTACAAAATTGATATATCTGTCAATTCTATTTTTTTGAAGCAGACGAGATGGCATGACCTTGGAAATCACCGTCTGACTATGGCATCTTTTACAATTCGATCCCTTATCCTTTAGAGAGACTGAGTCTTATCTAAATCCTCGGGTGGGAAAAATTCCTTTGGCTCTGTAATCTCGACACTACGCATCATTGACTTGTTTCCTGGCAAGCAGGCAGACTAGAGATTAAGAGCATCTGCGGACTGTAGATTCTCCCCTTTCGAATACTGCTAAAGAATTGAGATAAAATCATCCTCATCTGTGTTCTTATTAATATAGTAAACCACGATGCGAGATTGGATGTTTAGAGTAATATTTTACATATTGTTTATTATTACATTACGGAATTCAATTATGGATCGCGAGTTTTCTCTTTCCCAGATTCTTTATCTTTCTTTAAATAACATCTTGTAGACAAATATGAGGCAATTTAACGTTATATCGTGGTTATTCTGCTGTTTTATTCTTTCTAGATCTCTGGCTTGTTCTTGGTATCATTAACTCTATCTAATTATAGACTTAATTTAAATTTTAATGTTCCATTTGGAAAAGTTATTAAAAATCAATAAAAATCTTGAAGGTTTCGCCTGAATTTTTATTGACTTTGGCATTACTCTCTGGAATTAAATTAAAAAAAAAACTTAATCAAATTTGACTTAATGCATAGCAATACCTATGTTTCATAAGTATGTCATATATAGATTTAAATGCAGATTTGAAAATGGTTTGTTACTGCGAGAAATTTTTTTCATTATGTTATAATGCATTTCTCTAAATGTACTGAACAGAGAATCATATTTTTACTTAAAATTTTATAAATTATTTACCTAGAAAATATAAAATATGGTAATAAAGTGAGCAAATTTTGAACATGATTTATAATAGTTAAATACATAATTAACTCATAAAATTTAAAATATTAAACATACTTTTATATCTCCGTATTTTATATTTTTAGGTAAAGAATGTATAAAGTTATAAGTAGAAGTATTAAATATACCTTTGTTATAAATATATCGGTACAAGTGTCTTTAAATGTTTAAACTTTAAAATTTTTATGTCATGCTTATAAATATCGATTCTATTATAGAAAAAAATTCAGATTTCTTGAAAAATACAATTGTTATTTTTCTCTTACATGTATTTGCAACTAAAAATTCGCTTATTCAGCAAAGTGTATTCTTGCCACATGGTTGACTCTATGAATAATCTAATAGAAATTTCTCTGACAGTACACTGGATGACATAGAGTACAATGAAATCACGCTCTGACAAGCACAACATATATTAGCGAAGAGTCTATACCTCCTATTCTAACCGATTGAAATACAAACTTTGCTCCTACTAGATCACGGTATTCATTCAGCGAGTTCTTTTCTTTAAAGATTTTGTAAAAGACTAAATTTAAGAATTAAATTTCAATAAAGATATTACAAATTTATTTAAAAAAAACTATTAAATTCTAATGTTTATTAAAGTTAATTTTAAAAATTAATACTTTAGGAATTAATAATGGCAATTTCAAAATTTGAATTCAAAATTTCAAATTAAAAAAAAAAAAATAGTTGCAAATAGAGATTATTGGTTAAATAATAAATGGGCGTGACTCAAAAAATTACAAATAAGAGCGTGCGGTATTGTTATTTTTAAATTTAAAATTGACCAATAAGGATTAATTAAAGAAAAAAACGGCATTATTTTTTTAAATTTTAAATTAACCGATACGGATTAATTGAAAATTACACAAAGTTTTGCAAGAGTTTAATTTATTTAATTTTTCCATACATTAATTTAAAAATAAAACGAATTTTTCATAATTTAAAAAAAATATACAATCTTATATTTTATTCATTAATTCAATACTAACTTAAATTTAAGAATTAATTAAAATTAAAATAGCTAGTTGTAACTTTTTAATGTTTAAAAAATTAAAATTTTAATAAAAACATATTCTAATTTTTGTCAATTATTTTTCATAAAATGGGAAAACATTATTAAAAATAATTCGGCATTAAAACTTGGAATAGGGAAGGAGGAGAAAAAAAGAAATACGAATAGAAAAAGAATTTAATTTACTTCAAAAAATAGAGCTTGTTAATTAAATTTCTTAATTACTGCTAACCGTAAACAAAAGAATGACTGTACTTCTTACTCCTGTTAAGTTGAATAATGAAGGGAAAATTAACGAGTGTTTTTCTGATTAAAATCTGCGGAAACGTTCCAGCTGTATATATTCTTTACTGCTATACTATATATCAGCATATGTCATCTCTAGCCTTTAGCTCATATTTTCACTATTGTTGCTTAATTTACGATAGCTATCTTAACGATAGTTACTGTTTATAGTGTCTTATTATAGCTATATAATGGGATCATTTTAATTTTAATTTACGTCTAGAATCCGTAACAATTTAATTACATTAAACGACAGCTTTGGTTAATTTAATTCGAGTTTATTACTCCATTATTATTGCTTAACCTATTAATAGTTTTAACCTATCACTATAGTGGTTTAACTTAAAAAATTTTTTATGTTCCCTTCTCAAGAATGTATAAGTTATATATGGTTATTTTTTATAAAGACTTTTTTTATGCTTATTGAAGTGTATAGAATAATTAAACTGTGAAGAAGTATTCACAAGCTTTATACTGTATAAGGAAAATTTAATTGTACAAGCAATAGTATAATAACAGCATTTTAATATTAGGCTCTGTATGTTGTGTTATACCTTTCGAGATATACTTTTGCATAAATAAATCAAATATATTAACTAAATGCAGAATTTCAGCTCTTTTAACTTCAAGAAAAGTGTAATTTTATTTTTTATATCTGCTGAATTTGCCATATTTTATTACAATTATCCAAGATACGTGCTTGAAAATTACATATTTACCAGTTATTTTTATTTTTATGAATTTTGTAGACTGACAAACAGACAAACGAATGAACGAACGTATAAACAAAACAACAAAAATAATGCAGGGATTACTTTTATTCATTAAAATTAAGCAAATAGCATGCAGTATAATATATGATTAAAATTAAATTAAATTGAATACTTGAAATAAAATCTACTACTTTAATCACATTTCGATATTTGTTACAAATTCTCCCATTAGTTAATTTAAATTTTGGAGATCAAATTAAGTAAATAAATCAATTCAATACTAGGATAAAGTCCATATTATTATAAGTAAATTAAATGGGAAAAAATAACTTAATTTCTGTTAAAAATGGTTATATTTTTTTTTCAGGTTTGGCTTGTCCCTAGAGATAATTGGAAGTTTTAAATAACACTCCATACATTTCTTTCTGGTGGAAAGAAGGAGGGTTAATGTGATTTCAGCTCTTGACGAAGAGGAGTTTATATAAAAAAAAATATATTCACAGTTTTCCACGTAGAGTGGTCGAATTACCATATAAATTAGCGACATCAAGCTTTGGTGAGATTAAAACAACAACTCAACTCCATTTCTCTAGGTAAGTTAGTTATCGATAAAATAAACGCTAAGTATGTTGTTTAAAGAAGTTAGTCGAACAGAATTGAAATTGTTTAAGCTGACAATTGAAACGTGAGTAATTGGCAAATTATTCCCCATTCCCATTTTGAGGCTGCAGAAGTCATTTTCTGAGACAATCTTATTAACTACTACTTCAAGTAAGTAACTTTTGTGATAATTAATATACAAACAAAGCTAAAATCATTATCATTTTTTAACATAATTTCCATCATTTATATAAATTTAAAAATTATAAAATTAAATCTAAATTTAATTTAATATTTAAAACAAAATTTTTCAATTAAATTAGCATCTAAAGTTGGTTTTGAAGAGTAAAATTTTAATTTAAAAAAAAATTAATATTCGAAGTTTTATTTTCTTTTATTATTTTAAAATTCATATCATCGAAGCGAGAAATATTTTTTTTATAGAAAACTTTAGAAGTTTAGTTATAAAAAAAGAAATAAAAATTTTGATTTTCTTTTTTAAGAATTGATAATTATTGAAGCGTGCGACTGATTTATAAATCTTTTGCATAAGTGAACGGGTGGGTTATCTACTTTTATTTATTTTCTATTTCAATGAAGGAGAAAAACAAAATATTGAAGAAGAAACAAAGAACCCTCTCGAGAGAAATGCGATAATCTTCATTGTTCGCTCTCAGTATCTCACTTCAATGTCTTCTCTTCTGGAAGATTTTTCAAAAGTAAACGAAATTATTTTGAATGATTTGAAAGGTTTTCAATAAAAAAGTAAAAAAAAACAACATCAAATCCATCAAAAAATTACTTTTCTCTTTTAATTAAATTAACTTCTAGATGTTGATAATATTGATTTGTATGTTTTTTAAAGTTTACCTTTCACACTAAAATCGCGTAATTAAAAGCAAAAGAGAAGAAAAAAATAATAATAATTACTTGATGTATCAAGTCATTTCATTTCGCTATTTTTCAATTTATAAATCAATATTTCAATGGCTAAATATAGAATGATAGAATAAATTATACATTTTAATTCATTAATATATAAATAAAGTAGTTAGTATTGCTTATAAATATAAAATTTAGCTTTTAAATTTTGAATTATTCGAATTTAAAAATTTATAAAGTAGAATCAACTTAAAGAATTTTTTTTTTAAATTAGTTTCCGGATGTTTAAATTGCTGTAACGTTCAAATTATTTGCATTTCGCAAGCGGAAGCAAAGAACCAAAATAACGTTACTGAGAAATAATTTATCTAACGTTATTTTAGTTCTCTACTTGCTTTCAGTTGTGAAATGCGAATAATTTAAGCGTTAAAGCCATAGAAATTTGAAACTACTTAAAATAATTCTTTAATTTTAATATTTTAAAATGAAACCCCTGAAAGTTTTCTGTATAATATTTTATTATGTGATAAATATTTTATATTTTCATAAGTTTAAAAAAAATATGATGAAACTCCACAAATCTTGGCACCATTGTTGATACTAAATGAAAGAAGAAATTGTTAAATTCCCATCATGAATGATTAAATAAGTTGTTTATGATCTAATTCTCATAGAAACTAAACTATATTTGATAACATTTCAACATATATTAAAATATAATCAAAGATTGAAGCGAATTAAATTAATATTTTTGATCTTTTCTCATTTGTTAATATAATAATTGCTGCAGCATTTTACTAAATTGACAAAAACATCAGATAAGAAAATAAAGTTGATTGGATAATTCAAATTTAAACGGGTAATTTAATTACCATCAGTGGTAATTATCAAATAAATGACGTAGGCGACGTCAGTAAATATATTTAAAAAAAACGGAGCAAAGCTTCGAGATTTTAGAAGTATATTTGGATAAGGATTTCCGACCACTTATAGATCGAAAGTTTCTGTTGACAGGCATAAGAATGTATTTACTGGTTGGATAAATAATGTTTTCATTCTTACTTCGTTTGATGGTTTCACAAATATTGACTCGGCTGGATTAGAACTGGATCTGAGAAGAGAAAGATGGTCAAGCAGAGAAAAGAAGTCAAGGAAAGAAATACTACGAAGCGACGTTTGCTTTTCAGATGAATGCCATCGGCGTTGTTCTGAAATAGTTAAACAAATTTTTCTCTTCCGAAAGACTCCTGAATTATATTATGAAGTGAGCAATCGAAGCAAAAGCAATTTATGTCCAAACCACAAAGCTATGCGACATGATTAAAGCAACTACACCCATTCCAGTTAATCACGGATCGTATATCTCATAAATTTCCTTTAAGCACCAAAGCTTCGTGATGTTTTGTACAAAATTATTCTTATATAATGTTTGATTTCTTTATTTAAAAATATTAAACATTCTTCTAGAGTTGCTTTAATTGAAAGCATTCACTTTGAGTCAAATTGATTTATATGTTTTAGTTAGAATTTTTTTTATAAGGAAAACAGATAATTTAATAAGAAATTTCTGTATAGGATCAAGAAAATAAGAGATTATATATATTTTTCTCGATATCTTAATAATGATATTGAAGATAAGTCAGGCATCAGTACTCGAACTCATCGATATTCTCGAGTCATTGCTTCGAAACAATCGATATGAAACCAGACCAGTCGAGCTTTAAGGAACAGAACTTCTAATATCCGTTGATTAACAAGCACGAAAAGAGCTCTACTTCACGCCCTTGTAAACTTTAATATATCCTCTTCCATCCTACATTACAGTGTTTCGGCAGAGTGTTCATTAATTTCCTGCCATTGCTTAGAAGAGATCGATAGTGGCCAAACTCAACGGCAAAGCGTGTAAATCTTCTAACCTCTTACTTTAAAAGACGGTCAAGAATGTTAAGTTTAAATTTCCACTCAAAATATATACATATACAGTATATTTAATTTTATGTACTAAATCTACGGTTACATTCTCTTTAACTCGATATCATTAACTCGACCAGAAGTGGCATTTTTATAAGAAAGTTCATCAGGTCTTCTAATCCAGAAATCCCCACTAAAATAGATCAAAGAAGTCATTTATACAATAGATCCCGCTGATTGAATTCTGATCCGCCTGCACAAAAGTAGGTTACGTTCAGTAGTGTGAACCTTTCGGGAATTTTATTACAGGCGGGATTAAAGAGAATCCACTTAAGAAAGTTGAAAAACTATTCGATAGAAGTGTTATTGCCAAACTGTGATATAAAGATAGATGTTTTCTCGCTACTGGCAAGGGAATAATTTTATAGAATGGTATAAGAAAAATGAAATTTCAGCTGAAGCACAAACAATTGCCATCTTATTAATTTTTGATAATAATATAATCTTTTAAAATTCTGATAATCTTTTCACTGTGATAAGTATATTATATGGTACAGTACTAGTCTCATATAATGCATATCTAAGGAATTTGTTATAAAGGTCGAGAGATTTTTATCTTCTATTGAAAATAGAATGGCCCAAAACTAAGCTAACAATATGAATCGCTTGACAAACGATTTTAAATAATTTGTTTGAACAAATTAATTAATAACTTATTTACAAACTCCACAAAAAATATTCAAAATGAGACCTCTCTTGATCTCATTTTGAATAATTTTTGTAAAGTTTTACGTAATAAAGCATAAGACAGAAATTTAACCCTTATAATAGTTTGTGCCAGCTTCTATTATAATTATTATCTTTGTAACTAGTCTTGTATACATTGTCTACATAGTGTCATAGCACATATTCCTGTAGATCAAATTCAACTATTTTTAGATAAAACCTAACATTTAAATAATAAAGAAATGTTTGTTTTTCTTCAAAAGAATAAAGCATTTTTCGATTTCTTAAATTATTTTTCTTTAGAAAATGTAAACATAAAATTATATTTGTATATAATTTATTCTGTTGATAAAACTAAAACATATATTTCTTTATTTTATACCAAACTTAGTAGTTAAATCATAAAGAAATGTATAGTTTAGTTACACCCACAGAATATAATTTTATATTTATATTCCGCAAAGAAAATATACTAGATCAGTATATATTTTATGATAGATAGTAGACTTATCTTTCATCCAGTTTCATCGTCTATAGCAAGATGCTTGACACGAAACATCCAACATCTTATCCTTTTAAGAATGATCCATCAGAAGTGGTTCTGGTAAATTCTATCCATTTGATACGTGCTTTTATTTTGTCTTCGGTAAATCAAATATATTGTTAATCGACAAAATAAATTAATAAAAAATGTAAATCGTAAAAAAGTAATCAAAATTTTATTTCGTAGATATCCGACACTTCACACGAATATGTTTCATGGTGTCACGAATATTGCGTGATCAAACTACATTTTTTTCTGTACAAGAAAAAATTTATTATTCCTATCAAAAATATTTATAAGTTTTTTATCGTCAATTGCATTAATCTATATTTATAAAGAATTATTTTCTTCTTATTTATAATATAAAATATACATTGAAGTAAAGTATAAAACATAAAACATATGTATAAATTTTATACCTTCAATTGCATTCATTTATATTAAATAAAAACGTGAAGAAAAAATATAAATTAAGTAAAATACACAGTAAAGTAATAAAAAATATGTATAAATTTTATATCCGCAATTGTATTAATTTGTATTTAGAAAGAATAATTTTCTTTTTATTTACAGTATAAAATTAAACGCGAAAAACCATTATCGAATAACGTGTAAAAAACGATAAATTTTAAATAATTACAAACTATCAAGTCATAATTAAAACTTATATTAATTTTTACAGCTCGGATTACACACACATACACACTCTTCGCTAATAAAACGAGATTAAAAATCTTTCATTAAAGAGACGTAAAATGTACTATGTAACGTGATAAACACGAAATTATGAAGCAATCAATATAGACTACACATAAAATTAACCCGTAATCCGGTGTAAAGAACAATCTTTTCTCACAATGGCTCGTAAAGTTAACACCTAGCCATCAATTTCGAGTTAAAGTACATTAGAATAATCCGTTCGTTACATTGCAATTAACACCAGTCAAGGTTTTTATCCCCTTCCCTTTAAAAATATTTATATGTAAGCTTTATATATGCACACACACACACACACACACATATATATATATATAAAGCAATGATCTTGAAGAAAAACCGATCGAGAGAAATTTCCAGTATGGTTGGTTCATTTGTCAGTTTAAATTGGTTTTCCGATAACCTAGTAAACCGATCTTTTAACCTCACTTATCTTGTAATGAAAGGTTTTGATATCGTGCATCAACTTTTAGAGACCCTTCAAAACTATAATGATATGGAATATAGTACTTAGTTATTATCGATCTAACCAAAATATTGTCTAATGTAAACGAAAACTTTAAAATTTTTTTAATAGATCTTTTTTCTTTTTTTTAATTTTATAGCAAAACTTGTTTTATTCGCCATTAATTCTGCTTGTTTTTTACTTAGTTTAATTTCCATTTAAAATATTTTATAGAGAAATAAGTTTCTTTACATTTTTTAAAAATTTCTTAAAGTATATAATCGATTTTTTTTAGCTTTTTGATTAGATATTTAACAAAAATATTTAGCAAAATTCACATATAAAGAACTTAAAATAGATTTCTTCTAAAAAAGAATGTTATAAATAGATTTAATAGAATTTTAATGAGTGAAATTTGTAATGATTCTACCATATGTACAAGTGAGATTTAATGATAAAAACTCCCCATCCCCTCCTTCAAAAACGCATTATAAAATTCTTAAATTCTTTTAAATTATAGATTGATTTTTTTAAAAAAAATACCATTATATTATTTCTAAAAATACATTAGAAATTTGATTAGAAGTCGAATTAAGTCGTCATTATAGTAAACACGTTTATTAAAAAGTACAAAAGAGAGATAAAGTATCTGTAAATGTTTAGTTTTTGTCACAAAACAAATTAAGTGTCACCGAATACTTAAATGGCTATTTTAGGCAACAACTAGTTAATTTGAGAAACCTTCAAACAATAACAGTATGTTGACATAGTGTAGTATGTCACACAAAATGGCTTCTTGTTTGTTTACCTAAATTAGATCATTTATCAACAGTCTCTACTAAATTTAATTTAGCAAGTCTTAAAACTTTGCTCATATATTCCTACTTTATACACACAAACACAAGCGCGCACACATATATATACACATTAAATAGAGATAGATATATGTGCCTCGATAAAAATTTATTGCGTTTGTAAGTTGTCGATCCTTTATACTACTTCAAAATCGCTGCAATTGTTCGTCAACATGAAAAATAGTTGTCATCATAAATGAAGAAAAAAGAATTCTGTGATTCGAAAAGAAATAAAAGATCTTTCCCGAAGAGATGGACAAAGTGAGATAAAAGACAAACCCGTTTGTAAAGACAGTTGATATATGTCTCCATCTTCTTCTATAGACAGTCTCCAGAAAATAGAGTAAAGTATATCTTCTTTCTCTCTACCATTAGAAAGACTAACAACAAAGTGTAATAACGTATAACAAATATCCCACAGTAAACTATCTACATGGGTGGTACCCCCTTCAATCTTTTTTCTTCTTTTGTTTCTAGGGCAATTGTTTGGCACTTCACTCTGATCTCATCTTCATCTCTTCAAGGTAATAAAATCTTCCAGCTTTATAACTCTTTTAATAAAATAAATTACTTATTTAACGCATATTTATCTATTAAAATTAATAAAAAATTTTTAAATTATAAATTAGGGTTTAATTTTTAATATTCAACCCAATTTACCCCATATTTACAAGGAAAAAAATGTAATACCGGAACATTTGTATAATTTATAAAATAAATTTGGTTTTTAACTTTATAAATCTATTTATTTTTTAATATATTTTAAAAATAAATAAATTAGTTTAATAATTTAAGTTTTAGTAAAGCTTTTGGAATGGTTTCTTTACATAATGGAGAAATATCCAGAAAGTAGTATCTAAACCCAATGTAAGTTTTGGAGTAGAAAAGTCCATTTATCTATCTTCTTCCAACTGTGGATTTTTCCTTTTAACCTGTTCAAGGAAAATAAATGATCTCTTTCTCCACCGAGAAACATTATTTCCCTTTTTCTATTCCCCATTTTTCTCCCCTTACTAAAAAGAGAGTAGTCAGCTTCACATACTTCTCATGATTTTCCGTATGTTAGGAATACCCTCATGAGTTGAATAAGGAATTCCCTTCCACGAATTCTTTTCTTGAAATCTTATCTTGTCAAATATGTTTTTTGGCAGATTGGAAAGAATTCGTATCTAAGTTAATTTCAGGTGTCGACCCTCTGTTTCAAACTGAAGGAATTTTGTGGCTAACTTTAAAAAATGTGATTGTTTTTCCATTCGCCATACTTCTAAACCGGATATGATTTTTCAAAACCGATTTATAAATAGAATTTCAACAATTTCTTTAAAAATTTATGTATAGAAACTCAATCGATAAATATATTTCATATTATTTTTTTCGTGTATTAGTCAAAAAATTAAAATTACAATACGTTAGCCAATTAAAGTATATGTTTTAAATATTTAAAAATTTAAGTTAACCAATATAGAGCTTAGTTTCAAAATTAAAAGTGACTGATTGGTCAAGATTTTTGAAATTATATTGTGTCATTAAAGTTTGAATAAATATTTTTTTAATTCTTTACGATTTATATAAGTTTATAAATTTAAATGTTTAAACTTAATAATTAAGTATTTTAATTAACTAAAATATAAATTAATGCTTGCATTTAATATTAAAATAACTTTTATTTTTTAAAAGTTAAAACCAAGATAGACTTCCAAATGACAAACGACTAATGTTTCGCCATCTATCGGCAAGAATATATATATATTTATTACGGTAATCAAATTTATTTATATTTTATTTATTAAGTTACATTAAATATAAGCACATTTTATTTCATATATATGTTAATTAAATAATAATTTAATATTATTTATAAAATGTATTTTAAACAATATTTCATATCGGAAGTGACGTTACTATACGCTTAACAATAAAGCTCTATCCAATTGGAAGAATGCGATGACGTAGTTTCATTTCAGCCAATCATTTTATCGGATACAATTAAAATTCGTTCGGATGTCAATAATAGGAGTGTTTTATCACGTGGGTGTATTTCTGCCTTGTAATCGAAGTTTTAAGTGAATTTTAGTGGCTAAAGTAAGACTTAACCATGTTGTTAGTATTAGATGATCAACATAAAGAACATTTAAAATTTTTAAATAATTTGGATAGTGCAGTCATGAGAGAATTTTGTAAATTATCAATAGAGTTTCTTCAGAAAGGATCAAATCCAAAATTATATCAGACAGCAGCACAGAAATTAAGAGTTGATGCAGAAATGGTGCAACATGCCATAGAAGGTATTATGTATTTAATTACAGAAGCAGTTAAGATGGGTCTAAGTGATTTGGAATTAAAGGATTCAATGATATCAATTGATTTGCCAGAAATCATTCAAGAAGAAATAATGCAGTTTCATTCTAGCAGGAGGAATGATGTGAGAAAGGAATTATCAGGATTAAGCACTGCTTATCCACATTATCATAATCTGAAGTGGAGATTGGATGTTCAGTTGGCCACGCGCTCTCTCAGACATCAGACGACTCCATTAATTATGTTGAAATTAGAATTAATACAAGACGAGAAAGTTAAATCATTCCTTCTTCAGATAGATCCGGTTAATTTGATTCATATGACTGAAGTGTTGGATCAAGCACTGAAAGAATCGAAATTACAACATTGCAGAAGAATCATGAGACATATTAAATGAATTGTGGAAATATTTTTAATATTTGTTTGGGTTAATTTAATATATTTAATTAAAATATATTCCACAATATTAAATAATATGTGTTGATTAAGAACTAAATTACTGCATTTTTCAATTCCATTTTAAGTTTAATTTACTGAGAATCAAATGATGTTTAAATTACTTGGTTTAAAACTATGGCATTCCTATGAAACATAACTATACTGTATATGTTTTAAAATTATTTAACATGTAATATCTGCAAAAGATTAAAAGACAAGTAGAGTTTACATATCCTATTTATAACATGCATTTTTGATCAATTGTTTTGTAATTAGGTAATTTTGAATTCTGGTTTGATCTATAATGCAAATGGAATATTTTGTAATTATTTTTTGTTTTTTTTTGATGATACAATTATTAATATCATAAATTTAAAATTATTGGTTTAAAACAATAAATTAAAAGTAATTTTATTTCAGTTATTTTCAATTTTTATTTTTTGCTCATCATTAATTAAATAAAATGATGTAATATATTCATAAAACAATATTCTTCATGAAAACTGTGCAGTGATAAATTTATAATTACTTTGTCTGACATCATTGTTGATTGTTAATATTGAAACTTCTAAAAGTCCAAAACAGCTTGTTTACTATATAAGAAACAAAATCTGGAAATAGTCCTAGCCACAACTAACAATGTTACTCTTACTTTTCCAGAAAAAATTTATTATATTGACAAACTTATTAAATTTGATAACAGATGTTTCTGAGATAAGATAAAATAACACCTTTAAATTTTCAGTCAATTTAAACAACCTTCAAGTTGTTTAAAATGATTGAACAATCCACATAACAGAAATGATGTGGGATAGTGGGTTACGAAACCTAAAATTAACATTTGCAGAAAATAGAATTTAAAATAGAGCACTAAAAAATTATTTTGAATTTTTGCAGTCTCTATTGTACAGTTGAGTCCACTTAATAGAACACTGGGTAAGGAAGCAATTTTTTTACAAGCGCACTCTCTTATGTTTCTGATTTATTCCCATGTTTTACATTGGTAGGACTCTTGTTAACAGAGCGCTAGTTAGTAGAGAAGTCCATTTAAATGAGCACTGTCAGCAGCAATTTTAGAACAGCAGCTCATTAGGGAGCACTAATCTAAAGAAGATTTATAAGTTTATCTTTAGTACATCACCTCCCAGGACATATGGATATAAGGCTGTCTACACTATGGAGTATGTTTTTGGGGTATTTGATGAAACCTTTCATTGATTAGTTTTCAGCAAGAAAACAAAACTGAAAGCAATTGCAAATATCAAAAAATAACTATCCAGCAAAATTGTTTATTAATGGAACAAAATGTTTTTGGCCTGATTTATAGACCTACTTCAGTTCTACCATCAATCCTGATATAAAAAGCATTTATTTTGGAATATTGAATAATTTATGACATACCTACCAGATTTAAAAACATTATTTTGAATCTTGTTGGTGTGTCATAAATTGATAATTCCTTTACCATTATCTGAAAGAGATGAAATGTTGACAGTGCAGATAACTGAATATTGAGATGAGAAGATACTAGTTTAGTAATATCTTAACATTATGTTTGTGAGCCAGTTAGAAAATGGGATTTCATTTTGGTAAATATTACAAGAAGCCATGATAAAGTTATTGATATTTTAAATATTATCAAAAGAATGAAAAGGAATATGCATCTGATCTTTTACAATAAAACAAGCAAGAATTGAGTGTAAAGAAGAATAATTATTAAGTGTTTTATGACTTCTCATACATCAATGATGAGACTTTTAAATTTTAGTGTTAATAATTATTTTATTAACAAAAAGTTTTAAAGTTTTCTACAATTTTAAGTATTTTGGGAGAGACATTACTTCACTCCCCTCTTTGGTGTATTATGACAGAATACAAATTTAATGGTGGATATTAAAAACATGTAAAGGTGAAATTACTTATTAACAGAACTACTATAAACATTTTTTCTTTACATGCTTTCAGTATCCCACCATTACATCTGTATTCTGTCATAACAGGCTGAAGAGGGGAGTGAAGTAATGTCTCTCCCAAAATGCATCCTGAAATAATTAAAAGTGTAGAACTTTTGTTAATAAAACAACTTTTGTGGAGGGTGATGATTACTTTGAGAGATTACAAATTTAACTTTATGCATTTAGTAAAGCTGTCAACATGCATGCATTGTCCACTGAAGCAAATAATTTGTATAACTGTCTACTCATAAAATCTTGCTCTATTTTATCTTTAGGACCTTGTCATGTTCTCTTTGTGTTTGTATTCTTTCGTCCTGCATTAGTTCAATAGTTTGCAACCAGGGTGCCACAACACTTCAAGGATGCTGCAAAATATACTGTAGAGTAGCTTCATAATACTTCTTGGAAAGTGCAATAACTATATTGACAAAGATAGAGATGCCACAAGAAAAAATTATCAAGTTGGTAGCCACCTATTAGAAAAAGGTTGAAAAAAACTGCAATAGTTCTTCAACTGTGAGGTTTCCTCATAAGATTTGGACATTATCCTTGTCAACTTTGTTGCAACCAGCCCTCTGACCAAACCAACAATAGCCATTTGCTTTCCTTTGATGGTGGATTCAAAACCTTTAAATTCATGCACTATTTGAAGACAATTTTCTCCATATACTATTTCTTGTTACACACATCAGTCTGTCAAAAGCATTTCCCAGATTTTCAATAGCCATTTTTATATTGTAGTTCTGTCTTGTAGATATGTTTCTCTGTTTTTGTCAATAGCACTGACAAGGAAATGCATAAGATTTTGATATGGTAAGTCTTTATTTAATCTTTTCAGTTCTATTTCTGTAGCTTCAAGATTCTTTTCTTTGCAGGTAGCAGAGTACAAAGCAGTTGCATAGTGACCTTCAATTCCAAATACAGCAATTAGTGGTTGAATAGGCTGGTCTGGTTTCAAACTGAGATACTAAAGTGGCAAGCAACTATGGAAAAATGAGCAGACTGCTACTTGTTTTTCTGTAGTTGCTGCTTTGTACTCTGTTGCATATGTCTTTATTGTTGTTATCAGACCTTGGTCTAGTAGTTGCAACAACGAAGTCATATTCAGCAGCATAAAAACTACTGTACTTGTACTTGATTCCATACTGTAAGATAGTTGGGATGTGCAGAACAATTGTTAATAATAAGTATATGCAAAAGAACAACCTATATACAAGCATTACTTTAGGACATTTGGATAATATAATTTTCCATATACATGGTGAAAATCACTCAGGTGTTTCATGTGTTTTAATGTGACTAATAAACAACAGGAAGTGCTATTTTGTTTACACTCTTTAGTGCACAGGGTTCTCAGAATGGTAAATGAAAAGACATTTAAGAATGTAATCATCATACACATTGATAATAGATATGAATTTAAATTTGTCCTTGCAATGCTTTATTTCCTTTAGCCTGCTTCTGTATGGAAATAAAGCTTTTGTTCAGCATTCTTTTCCAATAAATGAATGTTTCATCTAAATTAAACCCCCATTTGTAAGAGAAATTTCCTTTCTCAATGATTTTTCTTAGGTCTGTGGTAAACTTTTCTTCAGAGGTAGTCTTTCCAGTAACCTTTAAGCTATACAGTTCTCTTTTCACGACATGCTTTTCCATTTTCATCACCATCTTCCATTGTCTTTTTCTTCAGTTTCTTGAAAAGACTAACAGCTTTTTTTGTAAGGGTAAGATAACTTAAGGACACACCATATTTTGTTCAATTTTCAATTAAGCAGTAGATTTTTCTTTAATAGGATAGTGATTTCAACTGCTTTCATGATTTTTACTTTATAAATTATATGCACAGTTAATGAAGACAAGTTGAAGGCATGCATGATGTCTTTTTCATTGTGAGGACCCAAACGGGGTCCAAAAGGCAGCCATTAACGACTTTTTGAATGAGTCAAGTTTCGTAGCACGAAAGAGAGAACTTGAAGATCGGATTTAAACAATGAACCTTTTGTCTTGTTAAAAGATTACTCTATCTATTGTTTAAAATCTTTTAACAAGACAAAAGGTTCATTGTTTAAATCCGATCTTTTAAGTTCTCTCTTTCGCGCTACGAAACTTGACTCATTCAAAAAGTCGTTAATTGCCTCCTTTCGGACCCCATTTGGGTCCTCACATCATCATGCTCAATTTGTTTAATCTCAGTAATTTTCACATTCAATGGAATAAATCTTTTGATTATTTTTTGGGCTTTTCAGTTAACTTTTTGGATTTATATCATTCAAAAAATACATTATAATGAGCAATTATTTATGTTGATATTGTCATAAGACTTGGCTGAAATAAATTTAAAATATTAAAAATTGAACTTAAAATATATGCTCTCCACCTAAAATTAATAGTCTCGCCCCTGTACATATTTTTCTGTTAGCATCAGAGTTGTGCCAGTCATCTGTCTAACTTCTTTCAGGGGAAAAATATTTGAATTGAAATAATGTGATTTCCAGTTTGCATCAGAAGTTCATGTATAGTTAATTGGGGCTTTCTGCCCAAGATTTCCATATCTGGTCCTTTCTTTCATCTAACTAACTCCATTCTCAAGATTAAGGAAAGATGGATGATAGTGGGAACTTATAGGTCTACAATTTTTTCAAATTGCAGCCCAATAAAGGCAACTTCAAGCAAAGGGCTGGGAATATAACTGCTAAGAAGAATGCAGAATGGCACCTCCTGTGTGGATATGGAGAACAAAAACAACTTTCAAATTCTCTATATCCACACAGGTGGTACCATTTTTATGCATTCTTGTATTTTTTATATTACAAATACTTTGTACTCAGGATTCTTAACAGATGGGGAGATACAAAAACTCAGATATAAAGATTGCCATTTAGTAAGTGAACATTGGTTAGATGAGGAAACCAGTATAAATATTCATTAGGAAAGTGAGTTGGCAACTATTTGTGTGTGTGTGTGTGTGTGAAGAGGCCATGTATTGTTGGATTTAATGGAAATTAATTTGTTCTTTGTAATACAGTAGAATCTCGAAAACTCGGCCTAATGTGGCCTGAAGGGTGGCAGGTTATCGGGAATGGAGTTAAAAAAAATAAGTATGAGTGTTTCCTCAGAAAATACTGTACTGTACTTCTATGTATTGTTTACTTGAGAATACAACAGAGAATAAACTGCCCAAATACCCTTAAACAAAGGAAAAGTACATCCTTTATGAAGGCATAGAGCCTTTACTACATGAAAATGAAAATTAATGAATACACTGTGTACAGTAATTTACCTGATAAGACAGACCTCAGAAAAATACTTTATGAGAGCTTTTATACTTTTATAAAGCTGCTATAATGAAAATTAATTAACTAAGGAGTTTTTTGCCCTGCCAGGG